AAGGCAGCAAAAATTGCTTTCTTTGTCCCCCCTTCCATCTTGGCATACATATATATTATTTTTTATATATATATATGTATAAAAATAAATATATATATATAAAAAAGAGAGAAAAACACAAACATACATGCACGCAGACACAAATGCACACATTCACCTACACACACACACACCCCTACTGTGTATATACTTTTGATTAATATCCCTTTCCAGAAATGTTCCATAAGCATCTTGGATGCTCTTGAGTGGCAGCTCTGTGCATGAAGAAAGCAGACAGTGCTGAACAATTGTGTGGCTAGGCACCGGTCCCCATTCTTGCTTCATCACACTGCAGGCCTTGTGTCCTTTTGCAGCCACCAAGGGCGGGAAATCTAGACTCCTGTGATACTTTCTTGAAGGGAAAGTTAGTGCGCATCAGCTGCCCACCATCCTTAAGAGAAGCCAGCATGTCTCTCTGGCAAAGTTTCTATAGCGAATAAAGTCAACGCAAAATGTACACTGACATCCCATGTCCCAGCAAGGCAGGCAGGTTATGAGACGAGTAAGGGCGAAGGTTGGGGGAAGAGAGGGGAGGAGGAATCCTTGATCACGCAGATGGCCATTTCCTTGGCCTTTGACCCATCGCACCCTAGGATGCCGCTCTTTGGAACTCCCTGCCCATCCTCTCCGTCACCTCTCCTCCCTGTTCCAGGCAAGGAGAAGGTGGTTTGTGGTACAGCACACTCTACAGAGAAACAGCGGAGGCCGCACAGGTCAGTTAGAGTTAAGAAGTTTACACCCAGCGCTTCTACTCAAGTCCAGTCTTAGCTTGTTTCTTATGCCCCAAGTAGCCCGCTTGTGTCCACAGCAGTCGAGTATTATCCAGTGAAGACACCAATAACATTAGCAATGTTAAAAAAAATAATCAGTATATATATATATATATATATATTATATATATATGTGTGTGTGTGTGTGTGGTTAAGATATACATATATGTATATATAGATGTGGTTAAAATATATATACATATATATATATGTATATGCATGTATACACACATATATATGTATGCATGGGAAAACCCATCAAATACACCCCTATAGTCTTCCTGGCTCTGTTATTTAGCAGCATGAAACAAAAAAAATAAAATAAAACAGTTCAAAACCCAAAGGTGAATTCTGTGCGGCGGGTGCCTTGGGGAATGTTCCTTCCGGAGTCCATCGTCCGTACTGAAAGTGCTGTGCTCTACCGATCCTTCATTTTTAGGGTTCATTTGGATTAGTGTTTTGTTTTGTATTTTTCTGTCCAGGCGAGAAATCAGGCTCCAGAAACAGGGCTGTTCCCCCTTCTTTTCCGCTGCTCACCGTCTCGGTTTTTCACATCTGTCAGAGAGGAGAGGCAAGGAAAGAAAAAGAGAAGAGGTCAATGTTTGTGGCGGGGGAGCAAGTGGGGCAAAGAAAGGGAGGAAGGGAAGTGGCTGATGTTTTTAAGAGCACATGGTGTTAAGACATGGCATGACGTCACTGGTGGGGTGAAGTGCTGTGTAGTTGGGGCAGAGCAACAGAGAATCTCAACCCGCGAATGGGTTGATGAATTCTATTCCCCCAGGCTCACCTAGATGTGGGGAAGCACTGGTACAGAGGGAAATTTAGGAGTAGGATCAGAGGTCTCCTCATTCACAAGCTGAGTTGAGTGCCTTGTTTGCACCCTCTCACAACGTGCACACATAGATACACACATACACACAAAAACAAAGCCAAGCAATGCATGCAGAGAGACACACTCCCCCAGCTCCCCACCTAGCCTGTTATTTGGGTTGGAAGCAATACAGACAACAAAGCCTCATGCAGGCAAGAATTTTGCTGAAAAGAAAGTGCCTCTCATTTCAGTGGCTGCCATGAGCAGGGGTTAGCGCCAGAGAAGAGCAGCAGAAGCAGCCTGAAGAAGCAGTGGGAGAAACAAAAAACTGCCCTCCCTTCTAGAACCCAATTCTAACTTTACAAGGAGATGAAGCAGGAGGAACTTCAGCTTAACCAGCTTTTTGTCTGGAAACAGATAACCTACCCATTCTTAGGACTCTTTGCTATCTTTCTGGCCAACACATCAGCTCTGGAAACCTCCCTTACTGCCAATCATCCCACCGAAGGGAGGGACTAGTAAAAGACACAAGTAAATCCCTTCTGCCATCACAACTTCTTCGGGGTATTGTTTGTTTTTCTTTGTACTTTGTACTATTTCTCACTCTTCAAACTCTGCAAGGTAATTTCCAGTTACTCTGGGCATAGGGTGCAAGACCAGGTGGAAAATAACAAGGTCTGGTCTCACTCTCTGGGGGCTCTAATCACTGGCAGGAGGGTAACTCTGGAAGCTGCTGTAGTCTGGCCCCTCCATCAATTATTTTCCCTCTCAGACTGCAGCACCTCAGAAAACTTCTCTGTATGCAGAACAGTTTTGACTGCTCTGGCAGTGTTAGATGCCTCCCTGGCTTTGGCACAAAGCACTTGCACACCTATTGGAGGCACATTCTGCCTGAAGCAGCCCTAGTCACCTAGCCAATCCCAGGCAGGCAAATGGATGCCTTTTCCATCAGGATGTAGCCAAAAAAGGACAATGGATCTCTCTCCCTTATCTTTTATCATCCAGTCACTGCTCCTGCAATATTCCCCTGACAAGAGAAAGCTCCTAGACTTCTGTGAACTCAGTTTGAAGTCACAGTCAAGGGCTCATTAGCAACTCCATCTTTATGCCACTCTCTGCAATAGGTAGGATGATCACACACCAGAGATGCACACATAGACAGCGTAAATCAAGAAATCCCGCTGAGCTCACCAAAGAGCTCAGGTGAGAACCAGGAATCAATTTCTGCACATCCATGTTACAGACGGGAGCATGACAGATAATACTCAGACAATACACACACAGTGTGGATCTCTGAGTAGACACTAACCACACAATGTCTTTCCATCTCCCAGCTCACATGTCTGAAATACAGACTTCTGCTTGCCTTCACCTACAACAGGCTTACCCTTGCTGTATCCCACACCACAGCCCTGAATGCTGCCCCTCACCCCTCAAACCACAACTCCGGCCAAGACATGAAAAGAGAACTTGTGCGTGCAGGACAAGAGGACAAGGTCCTCTCCCTGGCTTTTAAGAACAAAAAGGCGAATGAGAGTGTGGCCTGGCCTTCCTCACTCTGCACACAACAGAGCGCCCACAAGCCACACAGAAAGGGCTTGGAAGATAGGGGTGGTGAAATCTTAGCCAGCTAAGAAGGATTTGGCTTTGTACAACAGTAGCCTCAGAATTGCATACAGATAACGTACAGAAGGCTACAGACCCTCCCCATAGCTACTGCAGCAATATGGACTCTTATTTTGTTCTAGGGAAAAAGATAAATTAGGTATGAACACCCATCCCCATCCAAGTCCTGACAGCATATCAGAAACGCACAACCGCCCCCTGACACGGAGAATCTCTGTCCTCCTCTCAGTCCTCCCTCTGCCCTCTGGCCCATGTAGGACAGAGAAAAGAAGTGATCACATAGCACTGGTGCCAGAAGTCAGCAGGAAGCAAGCTCCCCCCTTTCTTTCTCTCTCTTTCTCTCTGTGTGTTTCTCTTTCATCCTTCAGGACACAAACCTGCAAGTGCGCTCGTTTAACTCAAGCTGCCTCGACTTGCAACGTGAGTCTGTGAATTTGCAGGAACATTTACAGGTCTGGGGATCTTGTACAAACAAGTGCTTTCTCCTCTCTGAGCAAGGCTCACAGTGACTGCAAAAAGGCAAAAGGAAAGATGTCTAAGCTACAGCGCTTCAGCAGAAAGAAAATACACATGCAACACCCTAAACATCAAAGCAATCCCCTTGCCCCCTCCCGCAGCCCCCATGCTGCCCACTGGAGTGTCAAGGGCTGATGGGTTTCCAGCAGCACCCCAGCAGCCCCAGCACATGGTCAGGACAGCATCCCCTTGCGTTAGCATAAAGAGAAAGAAAACAGGCTCTCTGCACAGTATTCACAAATGCTGCATTGGATCCTTTGGCATACACCACAGGGAGTAAGAAGGGAGAAGCAAGGATGGGAAGGTGAGAGGTCCCAGCCAGCTACTGAGGTGTCAATGAGAGGCGTTCTCTGAAGTGGGCTGTTGGAGTAGAAAGAAGCCAGAGGCTAAATGAGTTAAATAGCAGGGTCTGTCCCTGCTGGAAAGCAGCTGGGCTCCAGCATTGTGTGCTTACATCTGCAGTCTGCACTGCCCTCCTTTTCGTGAGCCCCATCTCCACCTTGCCACCTAGGAGCCTGCTCTGAAGGACTGTGAATTTACAATGCAGAATTTTGTGAACCACCGTGAGAGAGAGCGAAAGAGACGGAGACAGGTAGAAAAAGGCAAGGAGAGAGAAGCCACCAAATCCAGCAGATAGAGACAGAGAGCCCCCCCAAGTTCCCCAGCACCCCCTCTTCAGCTTCCCACCATCCCACCTCTCCTCTCCGCTTGTGACTCCACCAGACACACACACACACACACACACGCACGCACGCACGCACGCACATGCACGGCAGGCACCAGCTCGTCTTCCACCAGCTGTCGCAGCGCGGGCACAAGGCAAGTGTAGGACAGTGTGGGACAGAGCTATAACCAAAGGAGTGGCAAAGAGGCGTGAGGCACCCGCCCTCGCTTCTTTGCCCAGGGGAAATGGTCACCGGTGATGATTAGAGAGAGTCGAGCAAGCCAAAGCCACCTTCCCTGAGACACCCTTAGTGCCAGAGCGGTGCCACCGCCAGCATTGCAGGACCTGCAGCCCACCAGTGACTGGGGGGGAGGGTGTGATTTTGAGTGAGCAGCAAGCAGGCGGATTGGTTGGGGAAAGGGAGGAAAGAGAGTCTACAAGCAGAGGACACAAACGTACAAGCTGGGTGGTTTGTACCGGCCTTTCTTGCGCTTTCTCTTTTGACCCTTCCCCTTTCCTCGCTTTGATTTTCTGGAAGAAAAACAAAACAAAAAAAAAACAGAGAAAGAGAGAGAGAAGGAAAGAGAGAGGGAGAGCAAGAGAGAAAACAGAAGAAAACGCAAGGAAGAAGAGAAAAAAAACACAGCCATGTGCCTTGCTGGGAGGGGAAAGCACATGAGGCAGGATTGGAGGGCAAGTCCCGGAGTGAAGCACAGACCTCCACCTTGCACACACACTCACTGGCCCTCTTGCAGCACCGCCGCCAGCCTGCCCGCAGCCAAGCCAGCGCCAGGAACACAGCGTGCACTGAGGCCACCTCCACATGAGGCTGCCGGCATCCACGGGCCCCTGAGGGTACCCGCACCCCTGGAGAGAGCAGTGGGGCAGTGGAGAAAGGAAGGGATCAGGAAGCCTGGTGAAAGCATCACACAACTGCAGCGAGCGCAGACAACCAGCTCTGGTGACAAGCTCAGGCTCACGCTGGCTGACATGGAGAAAAAGAGACTGCTGTGATCTGATGGTGAGGAGGGGACACCCAGCAGCCCCACTGCAGGGCTCAATCATCCTGCCATGGGATGGGAGCAATGGGGCCCTGGACTCAGGACACTGGGGACAAGGACTGAGGCCTGTTCTGAGCAGAACTGCTGCATGGGAGCGGGGGACTGCAGCCTGAAAGCTCTGCTCACCCACCCTACCACTGCGTGTGGCTTGGTGGACTCAGAAGACCTCACTTTCTGCTCACGCACCCTCCAGTATCCTCCGTGATGAGCAACAGAGGATGAACAGGAAGGTCTAGCCCAGTTGGGACACCCAGGAGATGAAAACTGCAAGCAGCTTTCAGATATTCCTTTCTTTCCTCCTCCATCCAGCCCTTCCCTTTGCTTTTCACATAGATCTGACAGACAAGCGGACGGAGCCAAAGCACTCTCTTAAAGATTCACGTGCTGCTTCTGATTTTTGGGCAGGAGCTGAGACAGTCAGGGGCTGGGACATGCAGGCCTGGACACTAACCATGGATCTCTGCAGCCCAGTGAGAGCACAGAGCGGGGGAGGCTGGAGTCTGCATTGCTCCTCGAGCTATATCAGCACAGCAACAAAGGACAGGCATGTCAGAAGGCCCTGGGGCAAGCACCAGGGTTTGTCAGACTTGTGAGCCCCACAGCAGCTCAGCAGCCTCCCTCCTTCCCCACTCTGCCTGGGGGCAGCCCATCTTGGGAGGGAGCTGCTGAGGGAGAGCTGGGGGACAGAAGAGAACACCACAGGTGTTTCTTAGGCCTGCTCCAGTCTTCTTGATGGAATGTGTATCAGAGCATCAGCTCACTCCCAGCTGCTGCCCTACATGTCAGGAGGCACAAGGAGGTGGTGAGGGAGAAGAAAATCAATCTGAAGATGGAGATATATAACAGGACTTTCAAACCAGAACAAATCAAAGCATACTGATCTCTCCCATCCCTTCCCTTCCTTCCCCGGGGAGTGCAGAACCAGCAAAGAGCAGGCAAGTGCTGTTAGAAGAGGAAAGGGAATGCAACGCAGTCTGGGCTGGCTGCTTCACCCACGCCCATCCTCACCAGAGCTCACACAGACCCAACTTGCACACCTTCAAACCACGGAGCCACGCAGACGACCATCCCCAACACGGTCCTGCACAGAGGGGAGCTTTGGCTGCATGCAGCCTGATGCAGCCACGAGCAGTTTTCCAGGGGGAGGAGGAGAGGCTGGAAGGCAGCTAGAAATCCACAACCACCAGGAAAGGGGTGAAAGACATACTCTCTCACTCTTCCACTTGCTCTCTGTTTCAGCCTCATCTCCCAGTATTTACCCCTTTCCTCTCCAACTCCACACCTCTAAATGGCAGAGTCACTATCCCAGCCATGCGCAGTCCGGCTGACCCTCTTGTCCAGAGAGGTCACTTTTTGTCCATGTTGTTCCACGTTTTGTCATCGTCTCTGCAACTACTGCAGGACGAGAGCTTTTTTTTATCTCCTTTCCACAACCTTTTTACTTTGGGAAGGAAGGAAAGGGAAGGTTGTGCCTTAACCTTCTTCAGGTCACCAAAGCAAATCCATCAGCTCAAAAAAACTCTCTTGAAAGCCTCCACCAGGACATCCACCTCCTTTACATCCTCCCAGGCCCCCACCCAACCAAAACCAGCATCACATTGTGCATGGCATCAGTTCTGCCTCCACCAGGCCTCTACTGCCACCTCTCCCTGTAGCCAGCAGAGCTCCAACCCAAGCTGCTGTGAAAGAAGCGAGCAAGTTCTCACTCAAGCAGCAAGAAAAAAAATTAATAATGAAGAAAGGCAGCGATATGCAGTAACCAGAAACACCCCAGGAGGAGGCAAGGGAGAATGAGGGCTGCACCTTGAATCCATTCTGGTAGGACACACACGACGGGACTTCCCTGACTCAGGGTAAAGCATTAGGAATGACTGCCATGGTTGTGGGTCATGCAAGCTCCAGGTCTGGGGTATGTAGGAAGGACCATCAGATCTGGGTTTCTGTGCCCACCTGGAACGGATTCAGAGTGTTGCCCCATGCACTACCATATGCCATTTCCAAAAACACCTTCTCAAAGTGAGTATCTCCAACCAATCAAGGAAAAGGGCAAGGGGCGGTAGGGAGAAGAAATGCCAACCAACCACCAAAAGAGAAGGGAGAAAAACTTTGTCACTTACTTTTCTTGTTTATTTTTGACATCTTTCTTTGGTCTGTGAGGGAAAAGAGAACAAAGGCATCATTAAAAGGGAGCTTATCACATACACTTCCAGTATTATCTCCAAATCCCACAAGTCCAGGGAAGGACATGTACAGCTGCTACAGGTTAAGCAGTCCTCATAGTGACTGCCTTCTTGTTGCACCTCACCAAGGCTGGAAGACCCCAGGCTGCAGGCTAGTACTGTCCACCTGTCATATCTAGAGATGGAGGTGCCTCATGAGCAAAGGAGCTCGTTTTCCAGGCTCTGTCATCCCACTGAAAACCAACTGTGGAGACAACAGTCTCAACACAATGACAGAAAAATAGAAAAGGCTCAGAATAAGTTAATTGCAAGAGGAATCAGTGCTGCTCCACTCTCACCTGCAGTCACATTTACTGTGCTGTAAGAAGCTCATGTGCGCTATGTGCTGACTCTGATGGGGTTTAATTCTCGCGATCTGGAATGAAAGAAACAGAGAGGGTCACTGCCCATTCACTATTTGTATTCATGACTCCAAATCAGTCCACTGCATAGCAAAAGCATTTTGTACTCCAGGTGCTCCTGGGAAAAGCGTGGCAGAGTTTGAGCTAGCTTTGAGGCCCTGTTCTCCCAGTCAGGGAAGGCCTTTGATCACAAGCAAGCGGCAACACCAGTCTCGTGCCAAAGCTCTGTTTGCTCATGCATGCAAGGTGCCAGTACTGGTGGACTGCCTTGGAGACAGGCATGGGAGAGGGCGTAACACCACAGTAAGAGTCTCACTGAGCAGTCAGCCCTGGTCAATACTAGAAAGACAGTGATGGAGCATCCAGCCTGCTCTCAGACAGAGGCAGGCTTCAGCCTAAAGCAAAGTCCCAAAGCAAAAGCTCCATATCCAACTAATTTTCCCTAAGCCGCCACTCATTCCTGGCTGACATCTCGTTTTCTCTCTGAGACGACACACAGAATAAATCTGGTGCTCTGTGCTTAAAACAGCCCTGTAGAGCCAGACTTTGCCCAGCCCCCAGCTCAGTGTGCCTCCAGGGAAGCTGTATTAGAAACTCTGCATCTACTGTCACAATCTTTCAATCCAGAACCTGGCTGGACCACTTGCTCTAGCATTAGCCATTGAAGTGCCTCTGACCCTTTACAAGCATGTGGGCATGCCAATCAAAACCTGTAATTTAGCAAGGAAATGTAAGAAAACCATCCTTAGTTACACCGTGCTTGTAGGCTCTGACCCAACCAGGAGCTTGCAAGTGGAAAAGCAAAACAGGGGAACCACAGAAGGACATACACAGATTCTCTCCCAAAGCTCAAACGCAGCTGAGGTCACAAGTGAAAAGCACTGGCTAGTAATCATATAGTCCTGCAAGTCTCATCCATTTAAAAAACTGATGGCGATGTTTACGGGGCCCAATCACAAGGGTGGAAGACAAAAGTACATGTAGGAGCTACAAATCAAGTACTTGGTGCGAGCACCATGCTGGATACAAGCTGGGACCCAGGCTGGCAAAGACAGTGACAAAGCTCTCTAAGCACAGTCTCTAAGCCTTCCCCATGTGCCCAGACTTCACTATCACGGCCAGTCTGTCTCTTCCAAGAAATGAATTAAGCAGCCTCCAAATAAAGGAGGAGTACGCCCAGAGGCAGAAAGGCTTTTCCACTTGACACTGAAGCAGAGTGTTTCTTAGAGACCCTTCCCACCCCTGCTGTGCCAATGTAGCTAATGACCCAAATCCTCTGCTCTGTTGGTAAAGGCTGACCTCGCATGCCCTCCGGGAGAGAGTACTGGCAGGCTTTCCCCTTTTGCACTACCCAGCTGCCTTGAAAGCAACAGCTGTCTGGACCAAATGCAGAGTTGAGGTAGAGCAAGGGCCTGGGGAGTATCTTCTTTAGGGCCTCAGAGCTAACAGCATCAGCAATGGGCCTTTGCATCTCTAAGGTAAGTGCCTCCTTTACAAGGTCCTAGCTTCTGTATTTGAGCACCAATGAGGGTCAGAGCCACTGAAAAACAGATTCTCTTTTTAGCTTTGCATATAGACAGGCAGCTCACTTTTCACCCCTGTGTGGTATAATGCTAGATACAAGGATCTGACCCTCTTGATCTGACAATTTCCAGTACACTAGGGTAGGCTGCTCTTGAGTGGCTGTGATGGGTGACTTGCTTACTCCACCCAAGCATGCCAGCTTGCAGGTTGGGCCCTCACCTCCATCGTGACGTTGTACACATCCACAGGGACACATTCTAGGCCCTCATCGCCGCAGCAACCCGCACATCTCATCAGAGGCACACAGGATGGCCTGAATATGTACTCCACCTCATCAGGGTACTCCTGGAAAATGTCCACCAGGGTCTCAATTGTCCTGCAGAAGCTGCGCTCGTAGACTTCCAGGAATTTGATAACTACAGGGAGGAATGGAGGGAATAAGTTAATGCAAACTCAGCTCAAGAATGTCGAGTTCTTTACCCCTTAAAAGCCAGACAGTTGCAACACATCTACCCTATGCTCTTCACTAACAGTCTTACAGGCCTAAGTCCTTTCTTTGTCTCTGCCCTACACACACACACACACAAACACCCACACACACACATAAACCCTCCCACCCACACCCCAAACGAAGTGGGGAAGAGGAGACAGCCTCTCCCTGCCACTGCTTTAGGGCACAGACATGATGGACCAGAGAGCTTTACTGATTGGACTGGCTCTCCTTGACACCATGCATCCCACAGGTGCCTCCTCCCCTGCCATCCCCGATACATTCAGATATGCTGCCACCAAACATATCAGCTCATCCAAAAAGCACCAGAGGCTACTGCATATGATCTGCCCCCTTTCAAAACAGCTGGTTGATGCCTCAGCGGGTTTGAGAAGGCAGGGGAAGCCAGCGGAAGAACAGACCTTGGCAAGAGACTCTCCTGAGAATGAAGAGATGGTTCTGAACAATGCATCTACGTGGCTTCTTTCTTCCCAACAGACACCTCTTTTGCCCATGCATAACATCCACCTCAAGAGGCCACCTTCAGAATCACCTGCCGCAGGCAGGCAGGTCACAGTCCCTGTGTCTCTACATCGACCGCTTTCTCAAAACAAGGAACTGAACCACCCACTGGGAAACTCAAAGCAAGACCACAGCACCCCCAGGATTAACTAGACCACATACTTGGCTACTGAACCACAATAAGGCCATGTGGGAGGGGAAACGGGGTGGATCTGCTATTATCCCCTGCCTTTCCTCTGAATGGAGCAAACACTGACTGCTTGCGATCTGCACCGATTTCACAAGCGTTTCTCAATGTTTCCCAGTCTCTTGCCAAAGCTTCGTCTTGCTGCTTGGTCAAGGGTTGGAGAGATTTAAAGAGATGAGAGATAGGAGAGATAAGCACACACGCACAAAACCCAGCTGCTAGCACACTTCTGCAAACAGCGGGTACCTGGAGCCCCCCAGGCCTCCTAGCTCTACCAGCATGCAAGCAAAGGAACATGGCTCAAACGGTGCAGGGGAGAAGAGTACGCACAAAGAGGGAGTACCTGCCCCATGCTGTTACGCACTATAATGATCCACCTGTACAGTATACAGAGTCCTACAGCACCAGCATTGATAACTGAGTGATAAGCGCAAGTGCTTGCATCATGGAAAAAAAATGGTCTCCGGTAAGCATTTCCAAAGCGCCCTAAGCTGGCATAAAGGTTACTTTGCCACACACACACACACACACACAAAAAAAAGCAAAAGCTGTAGGGCTTGGAGCTCAGAGCCCACAGTTAATTGTTGAAAGTTAATTCTAGGTCATGCGGAGTTGACAGTGCCACAGTGCTGAGAGCGGGTACAAGAAGGGAGGAGCTCCCATCCAGAGAGTCTGAAGTGTCAGCGAGCGTGAGCTACTATTAAAAGAGAAAGTGGCTTATGAAAAGAAAATGTAGCCTGGCAGGCACAGATTGCTTGTTGGTATTCCTAGCCTAAAAGACAGCATGCTTCTGTTCCCTGTCCTTCCCTCCTTCTTCCTTCTTCCCCTGACTGCAGTGTGCCTCTTGTCCGTCCTCCTTCCATCATGTCCACGCTACCTCCTTCCTGCTCCCCTTCAGAGTGACCCTACTCGCTGCCTATGTTCCAACAAGTTGAACAATTTAATATGTGGGAAATTCTGCGGGCACAATGACAGCTACTGAACTGCACTGCTGATTATTCACACTGTGCCAGCAGAAAGGATCTGGGAACCCTGGTAATAAAGGCACAGCTCTGGATAGAAATGCTTGCAGACTGACTGCATGGGGAAGGAGGAGAGAAAAGAGGGAGGGGAAGAAAAGGTTACCTGTGCAGATCAAATGCTGCTCGCTGAATTTGGCTGAGACATAAAGAGGCAGAAACCAAAACCAAGAAGAAAACTAAAGTGAAACTGATTCAGGTCTGCTACGCTCTCTGAATGTTTACACTGTGCAAGTAGCTGGATTATACCATCGAATCTGCACTACAGATTGGCCACAGAAAAAACAACACCTTTGACTTTTTTTGCAGAGTTTTTTAATTTCTTGGCTGCACCCTGCTAGCTGTACTTGAGATGTGGGAGATCGGACAGGACCAATTGCCTCCCATGAACAACACAGAGTTTCTGCTTTTACATTAATGCACAATGATTTTCCAAAGCCTGAATCAGCCTCTGAATAGGAAGCGGGGACTCCTTCTCCAGCTGCCAGTCAGATCTCCTGCCGCAAAAGGAGCACTGCCCTGATCCTGCTGCACACGGAGCATTCACACGGAGACTGTGCAACGCTTCACAGTTCATTTGCACAGCTACAGCAGAGCACATGACTGAGGTACAGTCATCTCTCAAAGCCCTGCCCCTGCTACGCTTACTCCTATGCACCGGGAGTCATGTTCCACACTTTGCCGGGCTGATTCAGTCCATGCCTCCTTTCCATTGGTTGTGTTGGGGACGGAAGGACGTCTGTTTTTGATGGGGAGAAATGGGAAGGTCACTGAAGGACTAACGCCGTTTGGCCTGCTCCCCTCCTGTAATTTGGGCCTCAGCCCATGTTAAAAGTTAATCCCGCATTTAACACACACCCCTACCCTGTAACACTCCTCCAGATTTGAGTCAGAGGTTCTTCTTTGTGAATGGAGAGGAAAAAAAGGTTAAAACCCAGCCAGGGTCCACATTAACTCTTCAGGGCAGACACGGCCATGGCAGGTGGGATTGAGTCCAAATTTGGAGCAGACGAGTGGGAACAAGCAAGACTAGAAAAGGAGCAGCTCTATGATCATTTTGCCTCCTTCTCCTTCAATGGCTCTGCAGCAATATAGACACACTGTTCTTTTAAAAATAAAAGTGCAGCCGCAAGTGCTGGTGGTTTCCTTTATTTATACCAGAAAATCTGCTCGTGGAACAAACAAAGAGTGTTTGTCTGACTCCTCTACAACTTCCTGTGCCACAAAACATGTGGAAAGCTCTCTGGAGCACAAAAGGGTAGGGGGTGAAGCTAAAATTACACGCTCCAACCAGAGTTAAGTTCATCCCAAACAAAAACCTGTTGCGGCTTGCAAGCACAAAATGGCCAAAGACACAAAATCACCTTTCCTGCCGACCCCAAAGGCTCCAGCAACAGTGGTGGGAAAAGGCACTGTGGGATTGTCCTTCTGCAACAGAGGCACATCGACGGATCCTCTTCAGAGAGGATAAACCGAGGTACTGAGAGCAGACCTCCAAGGTCATCCAGCAGGACAGGAGCAGAGCCAAGAAGGTAATGCCAAGAGTCCTAACTTCTTGCTCACTGATGTATTTGCATCGCAAGGCCAGGAATAGCACCAAGGCAATAGCACTGAAGTCTCACTGCTCACACTACTAGACCAACTTCTCTTCTGCTTCCATCCGCCTTCCTGTGCCAGGGAGTGACATTCCGCTCAACTCATCCCCTCCCCAGGAAGGTAGCTGGTCACAACAAATGGCCAGATGAGGATACTGCCTCTTTTCTACCAACAGCAGAGCGACTGGTAACTGAAATAAGCCTCACAGCAGGCTCCATCTTGATCCCTCTGAAGTCACTGAACCTTCTTCTGTTGACTTCAGCAGGAGCAAGGGTCAAGCACAACACACGGCAGCCCGCCAGCAAATCAGAAATTTCGGCCACGCAAAATGGACACCTATCCCAAACAGCCTGCCACAAATCTCTGGCAACACACTTGCAGTCTGTCACGCTAATAACGTTACAGAAATTGAAATCGAGTGCGACAAAAAAAAAAGCCAATCTGGGCCCACACTGCTAGAGCCCTCTGCTGACCTCTGGTTGGAATAACGCTGGAGGTCACGGCCCATGGGGGGACCCTTCACCACTGCCACACCAGTGAGGGCTCTGCTCAGCCACAGAGGCAGCAAGGAAAATGCAGTCAGGATCATCAGAGCAGCTGACGATCAACCCAGCCTGAAGGCTCTGATGTCCACAGTCAGACTGTAATTCGGAATACGCATTCTTCAGAAACCCATAAGACCTAAGCTTGTGTTTCCTTCTTGTGGAGACATGGCAGTTATTTTACTGATCACATCCCTATGTGATAGAGCTCTGACGACACCCATCTTACCATTTCACTCCCAAGAACTGGACTGCCCGCTACCCTGCTGCTGGCCTAAAGGCTGTGAAAGCCAACTGACTGCAACACGTGGGGCAGGGGACGTGCAGGGGGCATCTCTCACTGACCCAGCAGCTGCCCACTCTTCTGGCCCACACACACATCTACCCACAGGCACAAACCAGGGCTGCGGAGGGCTTGTTTCAGCCTTGAGGCAGCCAGAGTGGCACAAAAAGCAGCACACTTCCCCAGCAGGCCATATTCTTGTCTCTGCCGTGCTGCCATAAAGCAGAACCTTTGGGATCCGAGCGCTCTGTGCCTCACATCAGAGTAAAAAGGTGTAATTTTTCAAGCCTGGCTCTGCACACAGCAATAGCCTGAGCGGGGACAGGTGGCCCTGTCGGGAGGGCCGGACCCACAGCCTGGTGCTGGGTGCTGCTGCGGCCTTTGTTCGGGCTCAGCCCTGGCCAGCCGGGCACCCCAGCGCCTGCGGGGAAGAGGCAGGCAGCGAAGATGACAAATCCCTTCCTACGGCACTGTGGCGAATTCCTAGGAGGCTGTTCGCAGCTACTCAGCTCTTTGTGTGCGTATATAAATATATATATATATAAATATATATATATATATATAAATGAGCGCGCGTGTGTGCCCGAGCGCACGCACGCACTCCTCCTCGCAGTTATGGGAGGCGTGAGGAGGGCTGGGCCGGCCCCGCCGCCCGCCCCGGATCCAAGGCCGCCCAGCCGCTGCCCCGCGGCCTCCTCGCGCCCGGCACCGCGCGGGGTTTAATGGCGGCGCCCCCGCCCCGCGCCCCGCGCCCGCCGCCGCTCCCCGGGAGATGGCGGTGTTGGCCGCCGGGGCCTCCTTCCCCCGAGCCCCCCGCCCCCGAGGGAAGCCGCCCCGCGCTTACCTTCATTGGGCTTCCGCTCCCCATCCCCCAGGGCCGGAGCAGCCTTCGACAACTGCGAAGAGAACAGAGAATCGGTCACGACGCGGAGCCGTCACGCCGGGCCGCGGGGAAGGGAGGGTGGGGTTGGGGTCCCGGGCCCGCCGCCACCAGGGAACCCCTGGGCGAGGCCGTCCCCGGCGGCGGCACGGAGAGACCTTTTGTTCTCCCCGCGAGAACCGAAAGGAACGAGCGCGCCGCCGGGCTGCTGCGGGGCCTGGGCCAGCAGCCGGCCTGCCCGTCTCCTCCGTGGCCTCCCCTACGGCCTCCCCGCCATAGGGCCGAGCGGGCGGTGGGGCGGGCCGGGGGGGCAGAAGGGCTGTCGGACGCCGAAGGACGCTGCGCCCCTCTCAATGTCACCCACGGCTGTCGGTGGCCGCAGAGCTGTCGCTGCCTGGCCCCGCGTCAGGCGACGAGCTGCGAGGGCACCGCGTGCTGCGACACCCCACAGCGTCCCTCCTCTCCCTTGTGATAGATACAGGCTGGTGTGACACTTGGCACTGTCACCTAACGGGCCCAGCCTCAGCACTGCACGAGGCCCGAGCTCTGCACTCGCTGCCCTCTTGGGACAAGGGGCATTTCCTCAGCGGGATCAGCAGTAGGCAACCCACCCCCAGACTGAGATGGAGCAGGGTTGCATCACTTTGCTAAGGAAGTGTTTTTTTTAATTCCAGGTGTAACAAAAACTCCACTCTTCCTGCTCCGCACGAGGGTTGGAGCTCTGACGTAACTTTCCAGCCAAGTCAGGTTTCCCCCTGCTGTTCTGTTCTGAACCAAAACCAAAACGCTCGGGTTTCTTCACTTCTGCAAGGTATGTTGCCACCTGTGTGACGCCATCCACCCCAGGACCTGCTGCATTTCAGCAAGTAGGCACACACAAAACACTGCTTCATCAGCAATCTGCTGTATTTAAGCCTACAAAAAGGCCTTCTGATCTCACAGCTGGAGACAGGGCTGATCAGACCAGGCAAAGTCCACCTCGAGCTCACAAAGGAAATTTGCCATCTACGGCCTTCTCAGCAGCCCTGTGCACAGCCTGGAGTGTCAGCTTTGAAGAGGAGGAGGAAAGCGAGCCGGCAGAGCCCCTCTCTCAGCCATTCCTTTGTGTCTGTGCACAGTTCCCTTTGTTTAAGGTCCCCCTGACCAAACTCCTTGCTTCTCCTTTCTGTTAACATCCCTCTGTACCTGAGCGTAGCACGCTGGTCCAGGCCTGAGCCACTCCATTGTTATATCCCTGCGAGGAGAGCCTGCGTGCCTAACCTCAGTGCCATGATAACAGTTTAAAAAGCAGGTTCCTAGGAACAATTTCATCCCTGAAGTGTGAAGGTCACTGCAACAGCGCAAACAAAATGGAGGCAGCAGAGGCTGCAGCGGCCTTCCAGAGCGGCTCAGCGCCTGAAGATCTATGGGTCAGAAGGAAAAGCGCTTCAAGAACAGAAAAGCCTCAATTCACATCACAGCACAGGAAAGCAATCACGAGCCAGGTCAGTCTATCCAAGTCACAATGCCCCCAAGACCTTTTGCTAAGGGATTTCTGGTTCACACACCAGGTGACCGTGATGGACTGAGCAGAATTAGCTCTGAGACACCTTGAGGGTCATGCTGTCCCTTCTTGGTGTGAGGCTGCTCAGCCCGCTGCCAAGCCCCCTGCCTCCCTGCACGCACACACACACGTGGTGCATGGCTGTCGGGAAGCAGACAGAAGCCACACACTTTCGCTGCTGATCTGCACGTGGCCAGCATTTCTCCCTGTCCAGGGTGTACCAGTGCAGGAGCCAGCCCTCTCCCAGCCATCACCTATGCCTGGGTCACAATTCCACCCATAGATGTGAAGTGAGACGGATATGGAGCCTGCCAGGAGCGGGCAATGAGGCTGCTGTGCCCCCTTGGCAGAGCTCAAAGGGGACCTTCTCTGCAGACACCCAGAACTATCACTAACACACAGTCAGCTCACCAGGGCAAGAAACTTCTCTGTCCTTTGGGCACCGCCTTTCACTAATGCTCGCAAAGCCTATCTAACAGCAGATGAGGCAGGGGATTCTGCCTCACTCTAAACCAGGCTGCTGCATATCACAAAGGGCAATGGGAAACCAAAGCATTCCAAGGGACAAGCGGGCCTAGAGTGCCCTTCGGTGGGAGCCTGAAGGTCACGCTCTCCTCTGCTGTCTTTTGGAATTACCCAACAGCTCTGTAACACAGTTTCTTTCCGATAGATTTTCAGCATGTCACAGAGGTGTGGAAGCAAGCCCTGGGCTCAAGAGCGGGAAGCTCCTTTTTGTGCCCTTTGCAGGTCACAGCAAATGCTTGTCCCGAAGCGGGGCAAAACCCTCCTGAAGAAATAATCATGTTTCACACCTCTGTACCTGCACCTTCCCGTTCCCCCTTTCCTCCCAGTTCCAGTATGGAGCAAGTTATTCTCTAAAGGGAGAGAAAAGGTTAATGACGCTGTTCCTCCCCAGCCATCGCCCCCCTCGCCAACACCACCAGCACTCTTTCTCTCCCTTCCCCTCCCCCTAATCTGTGCAGCCTCATTAAAAGAGCTTTGTAACTGTTTAGGACTGGAACAAACAATCCATCCACTCTGAGAGGGACTCTGGGACAGGAGTTAATGCACTTTTCGTCTTAGGCGCTAGAAATTCTTCTCAGTGGTTTCTACTTAAGCAGGGGGCTCTCGCTGCTCTCCCTCTCCATTGTGCACACAGCCAGAGGTCGGTAATCCCACAAACGGCCAGCGCAGCGCAGGCACCCTGATATGGAGCAGGACAGACGAGGGACCCCACTTGGGTTGCTCAGGCATCGGCGAGACCCTCTGCGGTGTCAGCACGGGCTCCCCTGCTCCTAAAGGAGCCCTCCTCCTCCCCCATAGGAGTGCTATGGGGAAGGTGACCGCTGTGCGCGGGCGGCCGAGGGGCTGCGGAGCTCCTGGCGCGGCCTGGCGCGGAAGCAGGCTGAAGGCAGCACGGCGGGTGGGTGTGTGATCATTAGCAGTCTGGTCACAGGCGCGCTCTCCCTCCCTGTGTGTCTGAGCGCTGCCTGTTCCCTGTGGCAATACAGCTAGTAGAGCCAGGTCCCTCCACGTCTCAGGGAAGGGATGGGTTCCCAGAGCCCCATCGGCAGGGACCTGCCGTCACTACAGCCAGACAAAGCCGTATCTCTAGGAAACAGGGACACCACCGCGGCCTCCTGGAGCCCACGGGAGCTTGGTACTGGCAAGCAGCTGGGAGGGTGGCACTGCAAAACCGCCTCTTCCTCCCTCTCCTGCGCAGAAGGGCTGTGGCCACACGTGGAGGCAGACACCTGTGGCATCAGCACCGCCCAGCCCACACCGTGACACACTTCCCACCGTCCCAGGAGTGAGCGTGCCAACCCCTCGGTGAGGAGCCATCTCTTAGGCAGAGGAGCACTGGGCTTCCCACGTCCCTCCTCCTTTGCCCTTGGGAAAGCCGCCCGACACGCGCCTGACCCTGCCTTCCTGCCCAGCCTCCCCACGGCTCTTCTTTAGTCCTTCCCAATGCTCCTGGCTAGCTAGATAGGTTTTATTCAGTCTGACAGCCTGATTAACAGCACCAGTAAATATTATCACCAGAGCACAAAGTGAAGAGTGCTGCTTTCTGCCATGCCCAGAGCCACCATCAGGCTGCCTACGTGAGACCCACTGGCATTCCCAACATCCCGACCATCACCGTGGCGCCCGAGCGGCCCACAGACAAATAAGGACAGAACTGAAGGACAGACCTTACCATTCATCCGTCCAAGCACTTCCATGGCCCGCATCACCCCGCTATCTGCGCATCACACAGTCCCACGCGGATTTACCCTACAACACCTCCCACCGCTCCGCATTTCCCACGCCACACCATAATTTTTCTCCTTTCTTTTCACATCACACCATCCTCCAACCCAGGAGAACCAGCTTTTGCATGACCCCTGCAGACGGACAAACCCAGACCCTACCTGATCTGCAGCTTCGTCTCCAGGGAAGAGAAAGGGGAGGGGAGAAGGAGCAAGGGGAGGGTTGAAGGGTTTTATCACCGGACACGGAGTTGTCTAACCCACAGCCAGGGAAGAGATGCTACTCTCTAAGTTTATGGAGGAGGCAGTGGGCAGAGAAGCCCCATCTTAGGTGATGGTGGAAAAACTCTTGGAGGGCGGAAAGAATTGTCCCATGAGGCAGACGTGGCCGCCAGGCTGCACGGCGCAGCTCTGTGACACGCTCAGATGGGAGCTGAGTCTTGGTTCCCATCCAGCACTGCCCAACGTGCGGCTGTCACTGGGGAAAGTGGAGATATAACAGGCGAGAAACAAAGCGTGCGGAGCCTGCCTCCAGTTCCAGCTGAAATGGCTCCTAATTGGGGAGTTACCTTCCAGCATCCGTGCTGAACAAACAATGTGAAGAACTGAGCAGCTTGCAGGCGACCTTTATTTTCATGTCTGTGGGAGATGATGTGGCCCACATTCCCTGCAAGAGCAGAGGAGCAGTGCGGGGAGCGTTGGCCTCTTACAGCCTTAAACATAATCCATGCCTAGCCGGCGCACAGCCACTTTCACGTGGGCACTCTGTCTAAACCCCTTAATATCTCTTGGCAACACAGCCCTCCGGACTCCAGAAACAGATAGATTTATAGGGCAGGTTTGCACACAGCGCTGCCTTTTAGAAACAAAAAAGAGAAAGAAAAAGGAGGAAGAGTTGGTCTCTAATCGCTCAGGAATGACAACGAGGCAAAAGTAAAAGTGACCAACGAGGAAGAGAAGGGAAAAACGCGGGGTTTTGTAATCACGGTGCCAGAGATACGTATTTTGAAGAAAAAAAAAAAAATCAATCTGGAAAAAAATCAGGATCCATTTTGTCCTCTTTGATCTTTATTTGTTTTTCCAGCGAGGTATTTTGAACTCCGCTCGGCGGCACGAACCCGAGCCGGGACCCAAGGCAAATACGGCCGAACACCCTTTTGCAATGTCAGGAGACCGGGGGACGGGAGGCGAGGCTGATGCAAGAAGGCAGCGCGCTGCCTCCCTGCCCCGCGCCCGGCCCCGCGGCCCCGCGGCCCCACGGCCACTCCGCGGGGAGCCCCGCGCCGGGGGCGTGCAATGCGCGCACACGTGCGCGGGCACTCCGCGCGCGGCTCCCGGCCGCTCGCCCCCCGCCGCAGCCCCGCACACGCACCCGCACACGTGTGTGCGCGCCGCCGGCGCCCGCCCGGCCCCGCTGCCAGCGCGGTGGGCAGGTGGGAGGCAAAGAGAAGGCGAGGGGAGAGGGAGAAGGGACGAAGGGGAAAAGTCCCTCCCGCACAAAGCCCCGTCCCGCCGCCGGCCCCGCCGCTTACCTCCGCGCTCTGCAGATAGAGCAGCGCCGCCAGCCCCCAGTGGATCCAAGTGAGCAGAAAGTTCATGGTTGCCGGCGCACGCCGCGGAGCGGGGCCCGCCGCACTCCGCCTCGCCGCCGCGCCGCCGCCGCCTCCCCGCTGCCGCGCTCTCGCCCGCGCCTCCTCCGCGCCCGCCGCCTCCCGGGCGCTGCGAGGGGCTCCGGGGAAAGGGGGTCTCCTCTTCGGGGTCTCCGCTTTCACCCCTCCATACGGCCGGCTCTCCGCCGGCCCCCGCTGCCGCTCTCGGTGGGCGCTCCGCAGGGCCGAGCGCAGGCTCCGCGGCCGCCCCGCCGCCGCCCGGCCCCCGCCGCCGGGCAATCCGAGCTCCACAGCGGCGCCCGTGCGCGGCCGCTCTCCCGGCGCCGGGGCAGGCAGGCACCCGCGCCGCGCTCGCTCTCGGCTTCGCGCACTCGCCACGAAGTTTGCGCGGAAAGTTTCAATGCATCTCTTTTGCTGCGCCCCCTCTTCGCGGCGAGCCGGGGTCGCCTCCCCCGGGGGAAGGAAGGGGCTGAGCCCGAGCCCGCTCCGCACGTCGGGGTGGCGGTGGCGGAGGGGGCGAGCGGACCGCCTGCCTCCTGCCCTCTCTGCCTCTCTCTCTGCGTCCACCGCTTTGAAAATCGGAATAGTAACAGGAAAAAAAAAAAAATCCAAACTGGCTAGAGAGGGAGGGAACGGGGCGGGGGGAGGCTCTGCAGGAAAGGGAGGGAAAAAAAAATCCCAGCGGATCAAAGTATAGGTGGGGAAAAAATAAATTAAACGAGAGGATAAAGCACGGCGGCAAGCCAACAGCAGGTCCCGGTGCCGCGTACGGCTTCTCCCGCGGCGCGCTGTCCCCCGCCGGCGCGGCGTGCGCTCCTCGCCCCCGGCACCGCGGCAGCCGCGCTCCGCGCTCTCCAGCGGCGGCTCCGCGCAGCGCCCGCTCCCCGCGCAGCGCCCGCCCCACCGCCCGCTGCCGGCGCTCTGCAACTGCTCGGCGCGGCCGCGGGGAGAGACGCTCCGGAGAAGTCCCACCCTCCCGTCGGTCCCCTCCCTCCTCTCCACCCATCCCTGTTACACGCCGGGCGAAACGGCGATGGAGCGCAGGGGATTGCGGCCCCCTCCGCCGTTCTCCCCGCCCGCCTCGTTCGGGACGGCGGTTCCCGGGGTTCCCGTGCCTCCCCTCTACCCGCGCCGCCTTCCCCCGCCGCCCCGCGGCCGCCGTCGTGCCCCGCCGAGGGATGCGCGTTCGGGTCAAAATTCACCTCGTCCGTGGGAATCGCTCCAAAGTCCAGCGGGGCCGTTTGCGGGGAGGGGGCAGCGGGGGACGATCGGCCGTCCCAGCCTCCGGCCGGCCCCCCGAGGCCTCCGCTTTTCAGATACGGTGATTTCTCGGCACCTATGTGCTAAAGGGGAGGGGGCACCTCGGCTGGGTTTTATCCCCTTTATCCAAAGATAGTCGCTAGGTGGAGGGGCCTGCCTGCACAGAACGCCCGTGGTGTTCCACCAGGCGAACCCCATCACGCTTGCTGGGAAGGCGTTTGAAGGGCAAAAAGGCAGTTCCGTCTGCCGGGTTACCGCGGCGCTCCGCGGCCAAGCTCCTTCGCTCGTGTCCCCGCAGCGTTGCCCTGCACGTGATACAGCAGCTCCACGCGCGTGTCGGCACGCAGAAATGTCCCTTCTGCCGCCACCCTCCGCAGGGCGGGCACCCGGAGCTGGGGCTGCGCGATGGGGAAGGCACGGTGAAAGACAAGGCCGTGTTATCGCTGGGAAGCAGCAGGTATTCCAGCACCGTGCCACAGCTCTGCGATACAGGCGAAGCGTTGGCTCTATAGAGGCACCTGCTGGCTGAGGGGAACAGACGGAGCAAACAACAAAAAAAAATCAGTCTTTGATTTCGGCAGATCTTAGTCCCGTTCTCCACTTTGTTCATATTTAAACACGAATAAAATATTCCCCTTGGTACGGGACACGGGGATGTGCCCATCCCCTGGAAGGCCAGGAGGTGAACGAGGGCTCTGCCCTGCCCCATCAGCTCCAGCCCCAAATGCCTTTGGTGCCACGCATGCAGCCACCCCCTAGGTTTCTCCACTCCCGGGGACAAACCCAGCCTGGAGAAGGACCTAGGCCTTCAGGGACCACAGAGAAGGGGTGGCCTTTGTTCAGGCATTGCAAAAGAATCCTTTCTCATTTGCTCTCTCTTCTCTCTCTCTCTCTCTCTCTTTTTTTTTTTAAACTAATTGTTGCAAAGAGTCTCTGAAGAAACAAATATTTGTCCAAAACAACTGGAGTTTCCCGTATTCAGACCTCAATTGCCAAAAAGCGTCCTCCAAGAGATAGGGAGGCTGCGTGCATCCCCCAGAGGAGCAGAGGGGATGTTTAGTTGCTGAAGGTAATGCCAAATGGGAGATCCCAGGGGCAGGGGCTGCTTCTGGCAATGCCACAGTTCATTGCAAGCAGCTCTGCCTCCCTCCAACTCTCTGCTTGTGGGCCATCAGAAAGCAGATGAGTGTTTCTGTGGTAGAAGAGGGTCCTGGGGGCCTTTTTTTTTTCTCCCACTAGGTGAGCAATTTATGAATGAATGTAGTTCTGCTGCAAACAAGCTGCAGTTTCCCCCCTCCCTCTGGACGGATGAAATCCCCAAAGCTACTGCACTTTGGAAAGTCCCACACAGAAACCCAACAGAAAAGATTAAATCCAGCAGTGCAGAGGGAGAGCCTTACCCCCTTAAAGCTACAATGTACTGTAAATAATGTACAGAACCCAGCTTCTAAAATTACCACTACGGGATTGCTCACGGCATCTTAGGTTTCGTCTGGATCCTGTGATCTTCCCACCTGCCAACATCCTGTTACCAGGAGAGCGGTGCGTGTGAAGGTTGTGCAAATGGTCATGCACTTGCACGAATCCTGGCACGAGCGTGGGCACTCATGTGCCTCCCGTGTTAGAGTTACACCGTAATAAATACGGGGACAGGAGATGCTGACATTGCCACAGGATCTGCAGCGCTCACCAAAAAAAGCAAACGCGTGTCTGTGCTGCGCTGCATCGGGAGCCGTGGGATCCTCCTCACATCAGTGGCTCCTGAGACGGAAAGGGAGACGGAATTGAGGGGCAGGAGTTTAAATATGGAACACTGAAAAGCAGGAGCTCCACGTTTAGGCACATCAGTAGGGTGCGTGGTTCGCTGGGAGGCTGGGTGACGGCGCGCTCAAAGCTGTGAGATGCGGAGAACTTTGCAGAACACGATCATCATTGAGGACTCCATCTTGCAGATTGGATTCAAGGGAAGCGTTGGCATGGACTTCAAAGAGCACAAGATCAAGCCCATATTGGGGGGCTCAAAATACAAATGTAGGAGCCTAAATGTAGGCGTCTATTTTTTAAAACCTCATCCCATGCTAGTAATACCCTCTGTCCCATTCCTCTGACCTGAAAAGAGAGGAACGTAGGTAACCTCACTGGCTCTCCTCACAGAACCTGTGGCCGAAAAGGGGGAAATCCAAGAAACACATTCCCCACGCTTTGTTTATTTTCCTCCCCTCTCTCAGGTCCCCAGAATAACAGCCAGAGTGCTGCCTGTGGGGGAGCTCAGCCCCACTTTGAAATTGGAACAGGAAATGTGAGAAATGTGGACGTTAAAAAGCAAATGAAACAAAACAATATTTTCTTAGAACTCCATCTCATGGGCAAGTCTGGGGGGAATCTGGATTTGGATAATCTAAATTAGGAGAGAAGTCAGGGAAACAAAGAGTAATTTCAAGCAGTTGAGTGCCAGAGCTATTTCTTAACATGCTGCTCACTCTGATTTCAAATACGGTCCCTCAGCGCTCAGCCCAGGAACAGTGTGAGGAAGTGGAAAGAAGGCCAGAATGGAGCGGGCTGCTGGGAGAAGTAGCAAGGTGAGCAGAGCCCAGTGCTTCTGGGGTGCTTTGGGTGCTTCCTTCCCTACAAGAAGCCATAACGATGGGAGAGTGACCACCAGGCTATGGCCACGTCGGCGGCAGCACCATCACAAGGCAGCGAATCGATAAACTGCACTATCCCCGTTATTGGGATTATTTTTGCTTCAGTTGTGCTGACAGAGAAGGGAGCAGATGCAGGTATAACAAAAGGTTGCTCTGCCGAGATGCTTTGCCAACGCTCCCTCTGCTGTGGTTTAAATAGAATACATGCAGCGGGCATGGGCAGCGTGAGCTTCCAGTTGTGAGCATTAGAGATGCCCATGCACCACCCACTGGCAGTTTCAGTCGCACTCTGTCACTCCGAGTTTGTTCAAAGATCCACAATTCCTGGAAGGAAAGAAAGAAGAATGTTCAAGGGGCAGCACCATCCCTTGGTTTGTCCTCACGAGTTGATTTTGTACTCTGGGTGCTTCTCTTATGGTTCGTAATCGTGTCAGGTTGAGAGGAGTCACTCCCCTTTTTTCACTGTCCATCTTCCTGTCTCTCACTGGATCCTTGTGTGATCCTTTTGCAGCAAGCAGCTGAGGTCGTGAGAAGTGGAGATAACAGGACAGGTCATCAGCTGTCAGCGGCATTGTTTTAGCATCTACAGAGACATCAACGGGCCAGAGCAGCTTTTTTCCTGCCTGAAGTACATGTAATGTCACCCTAAGGGACCTCATGTCACCCCAACTTATACATCTTCATGTAACAGAGCTGGTAGGAATACACACACACAGCAGTTGCATTAGTACTTCACCTTACACTTACATAACAGTCCCAGAAGAGATCTGATGGGGCGGGCCTTACCTATTAAATCATTTCCTAGAGGGAAGGTTTATTTGGGCTCATTTGTTATCATTTGTCCCAGAGTTCATATTCTACACTCACAGCATTGGGTGTGGGTGTTTTTCATGGCTATGGGTAGAAGAATCAAAGGCTGATTGCAGGAAAGCTGTTCTGTTGTTTTAGGTTGGTCACTTGATGTCCATCCCAGGTGCTGGACACATGTTGCTTGCTGAAGGAGGTATGATTTGAACTTGGACTCAGACCTCAACACTTTGGTAACTAGCAAACAAAAATAAAACTGAACAAAAGCGTGCCTATTGCTCCCCTCAAGTCAAGTGGCCATTGCTGATATTGACTTGAACAACAAATATGCCAGTGCAACAACTGAATCAGAAGTCGGACAGTCAGCATGTGCAGTCCTCTGCAAGGATGGGCAAATGGGATTTCAGTCCAGAGGAACCCACCAAACACCTATTCTATGTGCCATGGGTCACCACGTCCCTTTCATCACCTTACACTGCTTTTCAGAGTTGCACCAAAGGCCAAACTCTACAAATACAATGTGCTACAGAAGGATAGAAGAGCATGAGGCTCTCCCCACACCTCAGCAACAGCAGCTGTGGTTTGCACCGGTGCCTCACACAACTGTCGGAAGTTGTTGGTGCTCCACATCAAGGAGAAAGACAGCAAAAAACAAGCAGTGGTCTCTGTGTGATCAAGGAGTGACTGCCTCCTGCCCACAATCTGACAGATGAAATGATGGAGACACAGGGATGGAAGTGTGGATATGCCTTGTGGCAAATCTTGTTTTTGCTCACAAGTGCTCTCCTAGAAGGAAGTAGCTAGAATGGAACCCAGAAGCCTCTTTCTCCTCCAAAGGTAGGATAAATCCCTCTTGTCTCCCTCCAGAAAGCATGGGATTATTGTTGCAGAGGTGTGATGCCAGTAAGCACTCACCCAACTTCCACTCAGATCCGTATGACAAGACCCAAATGTCTCTCCAATGAAATGGGGAGATCTGGGAATTATATTCTTCCTTTAGGGTGAAAGGCAGGGGAACAACTACTGTCCAGCTGTAGTTGTTCTGGCAGCAGAAGGGAGTTAAATGTATAGGCACTGAAACAACAATCATGTCTCTTCCCCAGCAATTAGGGTCTGAGGCAGGGAACCTCCCCATCCCCAGGCACCACTTCCCACAGATGACTGAAGACCTCTTTGCACCATTTCCTCCTCCCACCCCTTCCCACAAACCACTCGTGATCATCCCAGGCTCACCTCCCCGATCTCCTCATGAAATCCTGCCCACTCTACCATGCAGATTATAAAACCCAACAGGAGGAAGTTGCAATCAATCACATCTATAACTGTACGCCAGTTAAATATTTCCATATTGAAACTAGATTACTATCTGATGGGCAAACCGCAAACTATAGATACAATTGTAAAGCTTCTATCTCAGAGCTATATTAGCACCTGGCTCACCACTCCAAAAACTTGCAGTTTTCTTCAAATAACAGACTTCATCAAATTATTTTGGATAAATGGCAGTTTGATAAATCTTTTGAATGGCAGTTTGCACAAGACAGTATTTCAGTTTTGCCAGGATCGTAAGCTGAGCGCACTGAATACAGTTCAGTGAGCAATTTCATGACAGCATATTGAGCTGCACAAAGCAGGGGAGTTTTCTTAAATTCCTTCTGTGTCTGGACCTTCCAAATGCCCACACACCTTGGTGGCTGGCTGCCCAGAGCCACACCTTCACACCCAAAGGCAGCTGGGCAATACTCCAAATAGAAGAGTATCAAAACAAAGGCAAGCTGGATGATAGGAGGTTCCTGAGTTCCCCAGCTCTCCATCTCCTGGGGGAGTGCTTCTCAGCACTGGAACTGAAACGCAGCGTTTCTCCAGAACAGAATTTAAGAGACAGCCTTCCTCATCTTTGGCCAAGCTCCTCAGCCTCCTCCTTGTTAAGCATGGTTTCCAAAATTCCTTTTTCCTTTCAGCATTTCGAAACCAAGTTCTTAGGGCAAATCTTGGAGTCAGGAACTTTGGTCCAAACAGCCTCAACTTAAGACAGCACTTCACTAGTGCCAGTTCTGGGAAAACCTCTTTGACACCAGCAGGACACAGCACAGCCAAGGCTGGAGATGCCTGAGATGCCAGGAATGCCCCCTTTCTTACAAATATGATATTCATAAATAAAGCCACTTCTGAAGAAGGTTGGCAGAATCTGAAGTGGGCAATAGGTTTTGTGATGTCACCAATTCACAGAAAGGTCAACATTAAAAGATTTGAAAGAAAAACAGTAGTGGCAGCTACTCATACAACTGTCATCCATCAACAAAATTAAAGTTCAAACATATGATCAGTTTCATCACTTCCAGCTTATTTTCTGCTTGCCTAAAAAGAAGTGTTTTTTTCTGGAACTGAGTTATAGGTCAAAAAGCTTAGCTTTTGACATCTGACAGAAAAGTTATTTTTCAATATTGTCCATATTCTGATATATGTTCTTTTTCTCCCTAAGGGGCCACATTAATTCTTTCAAAGCATGGTGGATATGGGTTTGGAAATCTCCAGTGAATGTAACATATTATCTCTTTCCTGGAAACAAAATAAATATATATATAGTGCAGCTTTATCTCATTCCCTTCCTGGACATTTCACGAGAACTGCACTGTGGGTGGACTAGCATGTTATCCTCCAACACCTTATCCATCTGCAGGGCAACACAGGGCCATCAGGGCAGTGATCCAGGACAGCGCAGGATACTGCTCTCTTTTCCTTGTGATATGAGGCAGCAGTGCTTAGAAACAGCAAGCTGATTTCCTAGAAGAAGAAAATGCACAGTCCTTGCACCAAAATGCTTGATATGAAGTACCGAGCAGCTTCTTTACCCTGAAAGTGAGCCGTGAAACCACTCTTACAGCAATGCGCTTATCCCTGGATAGCCCAAGTCTTGAGCCAGCCAGTTTGCAAACACAAGAGGTGAGAAGAAGGTTGAGTTACTGCCCTTAATTTTGGAGGGGTTGACTTTCGTGATCCCGGTTGCAAGGCTCAGTGCTTTGGCTGGGGCTGGGACACACCCAACATCGGGACAGGACAGGCCTATGGCCTTCTACAAAGGGGCCGTGGCTGGAAGATATCATGGAGAGACGCCCATGGGCAGAAACCTTGGAGATCATGGCAGTCGCCAAGGGAATTGCCTTCTTAAATAACACACTGTTGACCAGGTGCAGGCTGTGTGTGGGTCAGCCTCGCTGCTGGACAGCATTCTGATGCACGCGGAGCTGAGGCTGGTGGCTTGTGCCAGGTTTCGGTCGAAAGCGCTTGCCTTTCATTTTGCTTTGGACTGGGCAGTGGGAATGGAGGAGCTGCATCACCAGTTCCGATTTCATCTGGTTGAGTGCTTGGCGTACCCAGGTGAGTCAAGATTCATTAAGCAGCATTAAGAGCACTGCATCCCAGCAATGCGTATTTTGTATTAACCAGCCCTGACAACACCTGGACTAACATGGGAAGTGGTGCCACAGCAGGACTGCTCATCTGCAGGCAAAATAGAGTGCTGCAGGAGGGGTCACAGTGGACATCCCAAAACACCTTCCTTTGATGGAAATTCATTCCCCATTCCTGTGCTAGAGGATGACTACTCGACTGAATTATTGATTAGTTAGGGTCAAACGAATGTGGCTTAATGTGATTTGTTATGAGTAAACAGAATAAAGTCCAAACTAGTAACGTACAAACCTGGAGTTTTAAAAGGCTCAGCTTCCAAAGCTGAAAACATGTTAGCTTTGAGCTACATCAGCTGGGAGTGAAAAGCAAACAGAAGAAATGGAATAGCTGGGAAACTGAGAATTTTTATTGGTGCTGAAATATCACTGTTGAGGAAAAAAAGGTTGCTTTAGAGGGAAAATCAAATACAGAGATGTTGCACTCTCCATATAGCTTTTTCTATATGAAAATGTAGATATGAGGGGGGAAGAGAGAAGCCAACAGCAATAGCTAATGTGACAACTACTTTAATTGGCTGCAACTGCAGAAAATTGATAGAGGGAGCAAAAGGACAGGAAGACCTGTGTGGACAGTAGATTTAAGGGCAATAAAATGCATTTTTTAAGCTAAGTCAAAACAAAGGATAAAAAAAATCTAGTCTATTTGTATGTGGAAATAATGAAGCAGTTTTGATTCAATAAATGAATAAATAAAAATAAACAACCTTGCAAAGCATTAAAAGAGCTGCCAGAAAACGTCAGTGATTTTTTTGTACGTAAATTTTGCAAAATGGGTGTTATACATCTAGAAACAAGGTAGCAATGAGCAAACTGCCTTTCCAATGGCATCCTGGCTTGTATCAGACACAGTACAACAGCAGGAGCAGAGAGGTGATCATTCCTCTGTACTCAGCTCTGGTGAAGCCACACCTCCTGTACTGTGTTCCATTTTGGGCCCCTCACTACAAGAAAGATATTGAGGTACTGGAGTGTGTCCAGAGAAGGCAATGAAGCTGTGAGGGGTCTGGAGCACAAGTCTTATGGGGAGCGGTTGAGGGAACTGGGATT